GTTTGTTACTGAATGTATATTCAATATGTCTGTCTGTAACCTTTTGAAGTCTTATAATGTATCATATTTGTTCAATGCTTTCTCTGCATACAGTATGTAAACTAATAGGATTAAAGCTAGGTAAATACAATAATTTAAACGGTAATTTTTATTTAAATTCTGTTTCTTTTTAGATTTTTAATGTTAGAAAACTTTTTATTAATATCTAAGCTACCCGTCTAATGTATTTTTTTGTTTGTATCAATTACCTTAAATATAACTAGAAATACATGCATGCATGCAACAACCCCTCGCCTATATTTTCCAAACATTGTTTCAACATGAAGTATTCGTAATTACGCCAACACTGAACCACACTGAACGCAGGCTCGCATTGCCACGTCATGTTAGTCATGGCAACACGATATTGTTTTTTTAATTTTTTGTACAAACCGGGGAAAAATAGATGAAATTCAGGGACGCCGGAACGATGTGAAGGCAAGGGGGGAAGATTTTCGTGAAAGGGCACTTTTCAATTGATATATACTAAGAGATGTTTGCAAAACATCGGGAGTTGAACTTCGCCTAATCATGTTTTCTATTTATTGGATGATAGGGGTGTGAGGGGGTTCTCCGCCAGGCGATTGTGCTATTCTGGAAGTTCGATGACTGCATTTCTTGCGTTTTCTGAAGCAAATTCGTAAAATAATTGCACTAACATTTCTGACAATTCGCTATTTCGCCAAGGCAATCCTTTAAATTGAAAGGGCACCTTTGCCCCCCTTGCCCCTCCTGGTAAAGGGCAATGAGGGCGGCTGTCCCCCCCCTGCCCCCAGTTCCGGCATCCCTGATGATAAATACAGAACTATCAATTTCTAAAATATATAAAGTAGGTATAATATTTTGGTTTCTATGGGCTTTATTTTAATCAAAAATTCAAAACGAAACTCTACGTAAAACGTTTTAAAATGTGAATTGAAATTGACTGCTTTTTGCCGATATTTATAAACTTCTCAACTCGAGCTTCAACTTCTTACTCGCACTTTGAAATGAAACAAATTTAATTCGTACAGGACGCTAATGAAAATAATTTGCTTTCCTTTTCATCATGAACTTGTACAAAAGTTAATTTAACTAAGAAACTTTCGCAAACAATGCATATTTAATGCATAGGAAAGACTTGAACATCAAGAACAAAGTCTATATTATTAAATACACAGTCATATATAAACAATTAAAGCAAACTTGCTCTATACTTTAGGATTTATAATACAATATCAATTCTTATCAATGTTTACGTTTAAAAATTGCAAAAATGTTGTACAATTTGTTATGTGAAACGATTTTCCAAGCTTTCTTACATGTATTTTTTTATATTTTTGCCTTCTTCACTCCTGGCAAACAGCCATATTCTGAGATCAGTGATGACCACCCACTAAACACCGTTCGTGAGCGCCCGCAATAATTGATGAACTTTAGACTCGGCTAATGCTTTCGTTTCCCCGGGTGTAAATAGCCGGGGGGGATTAGTACCCTCGCGCGGCGCCGTCGGCTCGGGGATTAAATAGCTAAATAGCTGCATTGTTTTCAGTTAAAAGTTTACAATTTGGCATGAGCAGATGTTTTCCCGCGGTGTTCATTTCCACATTTCCAGCGAAAAAAAAACAATTTCTGCAATTCCCGCTTATTACGATGGCCTGCAACTCCCGCTTATTACGATGGCCTAGTGTTCATAGGTGTTGTGATAATTGTAAACCATTGAAACGAGTAAACTAAAGTCTACAGGAAGAATTTGTAAAAAAGAAGAGAAGCTAAACAAGTAAAGAGTGGGGACTAATTATTTGTTATGACAAAACATAAATAATCCGAACTGTTCACTTGCAGGTGCACCCATTAAGCATGCCAATTTTGACTAAATTCTATTAAGTTATCATCAAAGGTATCAGACTTTCTTGACACGATCTCACGGTGACGTCACAACGTTAAAATATTAAAAAAAAACGAGATAAATTAAATATGAATGAACTGTTACAGTCATTATTTTTGAGCAAAACAAAATCTCTACAGAAAATTAAACTAGAATCAATCAATCAAGATTACATTCCTTTCCACGCAGTTTAGGACATTATTTACAAAGGATCTTTTTTAAAAGTGTCGCGTGCACGAGGCCCCACGGCAATAACCCAAGTCAGTTTTTATATACAACTTGTATCCATGCTATAGCATTCCGTGGATGAAATATACACGACAGTTACTTTTGATTTATTTTCTTGCATAAACTACTTGTCTACTTCTTGCACATGTAGACTATATAATTATTTCTAGTTTTTAAGTTGTCACGTTCATTATTCCGCTTGCATTTTCATAGGAAATGCAAAACATCGAAGTCGCTCCTTGTCAATTCCATTTTGAGTTTTTGACAGTTTTTATTTTGCTCATGTACCAATTCAAATTCGCTAAAAGTTGCTGAAATTTTTCAATATTATTAGAGCTTTTATCTCGATAAGTTAGCTACAGTATCGTCTTCGACTTGATTATTTTTGTTTTCGAATACTATAGAAAAGATTGGAAGATGGTCAGATATATCTGAAAAAAAGTCCATTCTTTGTAGTGCATTCAAAATTATTTGAAAGTATATTACAATTAATGTGGCGGTGTGCGTTGTAATTCTGGTTGGACGAGTAATACGTGGATATAACATGTTAGAAAAAATGCTATCCACAAACTCGCCTGTTTTGTTGTGACATTGATAATTCATGAAATTAATGTTAACATTTCCCATTATACAACAAAGTTTATTTTCTCTCAAAATTTTTTCAGCAATAGCATCAAAATAATGAAAAAAAGTATCAAGATTTTGATCAGGTGGTCTATAAACTAATATTCTTCCCTCGAGATTTAATCGCTTCAATAAACAATGTTTCTATTGAATTTGAATTTGAATCTGAAAAATTCAAATCATTTCGGTTTTTAATATGCAATTCGCTTGATATATAAATTCCCACACTGCCACCAGTTCTATTTCTTCTATGATTATGAATTAATTTGTAACCGTCAATGCCTGCCAGATTGTCTGCTTCTTTTAGCCACGTCTCAGTAATACCAATAACGGAAAATTTGATATCTTGGCCACATAACCAATTAGTAAGGGGTGACTTGTTTTGAGAGATACTACGAATATATAAATGTAAAATCGAAAGGCTCATATTACCATGTTTGCATTCATTCCTAAACATTTCATCAAACTGATCCTCGACATAATATTCACAAGGTGTATTATTCAGCTCACCGAGAAAATTTTCATCTGGGTCCAAGTTGCTATTTAAAGCAAGATGGTGTCTTGTATTTAATAATAAAGGATTAAAAAATAATGTACCTTGTCTATCTCTGTGCTATACTTTATGTTAGATTTATATTTGAAAAGCTGAACTGCACATATAACTGGACAGTAGATTATCACGTGACTTTTGATGTTGTTCAAGATGGCGTGCGATTGTAATAAGTAAAACAATTTATTCGCTTTACATTTGGAATGCTGACTAAAGTTTGTACATATTTATAATTATATTAAATGGTTATTGTTATACAAATCTTCGAATCCTGATCTAGGATATTCAATATGAAACATGGTCCTTCTTTGAGCCGGATTGAAACGGATTGAAATTTGATATTTTGAGAACACTTCAAGAAATACGAGCCAATTTACGAGTTATTTAAGAGAATTTATGAGTGCTTCGGGAGCATCTACGAGTCCTTTGGGAGAATCTACGAACATATGAGATAATCGACGAGCTTCGAAAGAATTTACGAACGATTGAGTGAAATATTTACGAGATTTTGAGCGATATACGTGTCATATAAAGCGAACATCGAGACATTGGCAAATCTACAAGTATCTGAGTAAGTCTCTATGATCATTTAAGCGAATTTACGAGATTTTATTACACTTACAAGTATTTGGAATCATTATATACGAGCTTTAAAAAGAAATAAACGAAAAATTGCGCCTTAGAACAATATACAGTAACTGTGCACTAAAGGGATTATTATAAGGTGTTTATATACATTTTTGAGAAGTTAGATAAAAAATATACACGTATTCGAGAGTGTAATATTGTTATTATGAGTGAAGAAGCAACAAAGAAACGTAAGATGCGGGATGGACATAGAACCTCAACTAAGAGGACAATGAATGCTTCATCAACAATTCTTGACGATTTTGATCCTTCAAATAAACAACTTACCGAGAAGTTATTGCAACAAAGGATTACATTAAAGGAAAAACTAGACATTCTGCAAAATTTAGACAATGATATACTAGCTATTACTGAGGAGAAAGATATTGAAAGGGAGATTGAAGAAAGTGATCTTTTGTGAGAGACAATACATACTACAATTGTCAGAAATGATTCTGTAGTAAGCCCTATGAGCCTACCTCCATCACCAAGTCCAGAAGGAACTCAAGAAGAAGGGAATTCTCATAATTCTAGTACTATAAGTCATTTGTCGGCCAAGATAAAGCTACCAAAATTGAGTTTAAAGAAGTTTAAGGGAGATATTAAGGAGTGGACTCCATTTTGGAACAGTTATACTTCAGCTATTTATGACAATCCTGACCTAAGTGATATTGATAAATTTAACTATTTGAACTCCCTACTTGAATCAAAGGCAGCAGACGCAATTTCTGGGTTAAAGATTATTTATGCAAACTATCAGGAAGCAGTTGACGTGTTAAACCAGAGATTTGGCGACAAGCAACAGATTATTAATTCGCATATGGACAGCCTTCTTCAACTACCTGCAGTAACAAGCCTTCATGATGTTCAAACAAGGTTGAATCGCATATCAGAGGTCTCAAGTCTTTGGGAGTAAAGACTGCGACATATGGTAATCTAATGATGTCAATATTGATGCAAAGGCTGCCACCGGGTTTGCGTATTATTGTAACAAAGAAGATGCAAGAGGAGGAATGGTCTTTGGATAAACTTATGACAATCTTTCGACAGGAATTAGAGACTAGAGAAAGAGCAAATCTGCAGTGTTTACCTTCGTCAAAGTCCAGTTATCAACGAAATAAACCGGGAACAGCTGCTACTCTTTTCGCGGGACTGCACGACACTACCTGTTCTTATTGTCAAGGAAAGCACTTATCTGCACATTGCAAGACAGTGACCAATGTGGTTGCAAGGAGAGATATTCTGAAACGAAGTGGACGGTGTTTTGTATGTTTAAGGAAAAACCATATTAGTAGGGAATGCCAATCGAACATCAAACGTGTTAAATGTGGTAGACGACATCATGGAAGTCTGTGCATGGGCGGCCAACCCCGACAACAACACCCTAATGCTGACCCACCAGTCAACCAGCAAGAACCT